ACCATGAGATAAGGGCCTACAACAGGTGTAAATCAACCACCCACAAAGCTCAAGCTTAGTGTAAATGACATTCACACACAATAAAACATTCCCACCAAAGATGCTGGGCACAGATGCACATTTGGCCACAAGCTTCCCATCTCACCTTGGACAACTGCCTTGGGACAACTTCCACCATGGAACTAACTGTTCTTGGCCTGTACCTCTTGGACAGAATACAAAAACTTAAAGCCCTGTTTCTAGTTGTTATATCATGTGAGATTACGAACACATTAGATATAAGTGGGGCTTTTTGTGTGTATGTGAATGTCTGTGTGTGTGTGTGTGTGTGTGTGTGTGTGTGTGTATACATGCACGTGTCTGTTCTCATGTGTGAGGGCACACACAAAACCGGCTCAAGCATACCCTGTAAAGCCCAAGACTGACATCAGAGTCTTCCTCTACTGCCCTCTACTTTACCACTGAAGCAGGGTCTCTCAGTTGAACCCAGAGTTTGCCATACAGCTTAGTCTAGTTAGCCAGACCCCATCTCTGCCTTTCAAGAGATGCACACCTGGGATTTAAGTGAGTTCAGGGGATCTACACTCTGGCTCTCATGCTTGGACAGCAAGCACTTTATCCACCAAACCATCACCCTAGCCCTAGAAAAAAAAATATGTTAATGAAATAAGGTTCGCAGAGTCTATGGAATAGAGTCCCATTACTGGTGTTTGACAGAAGTACATAACATCTAGGAACTTAATCAATTCCTAACAACTCAATCAAGGAAGCAGCAAGTCAATTAGACATCTGCAATTCTAAATTTCCTGAATATCCCATGCCAAACTTGAAATCTTAAAATCCTTTCCTGGAAACCTTTCATTCAATCCTCTATTATTATTATCATTATCATTATTATTATTATTATTATTATTATTATTATTATATGTATTTATTTATTTTATGTACAAGAGTACTCTATCTGCATGTATGCTTCCACACCAGAAGGGGGCATCCAATCTCACTACAGATGGTTATGAGTCACCATGTGGTTGCTGGGAATGAAACTCAGGGCCTCTGGGCCAGTTCTCCAGTTCTCAATCCTCTTTCTTGTTGAAGCAATTATATAATAGTAATAATGCCCATGGTATGGAAACTAAGCCAGAGAAGTAAGTTAAAACTCAGCCTCAGAGTGCAATAATAGTCTCACAATTACAAAAGCGAGTTTCTTTTGTGAATTTTAACAAACTAAACAACCTAGACATCAATACATACAGTCATTTTCTGAACCAGAAAACTGCTGTCACTTCAGTTACCAAGCATAACTGTTTCTGTCTTACCCCAGGAGAAGTGAAGAAGCCACAGTAGTTTCCAAAAAAGCAGCATGGGTCTACTCAAATTGATCTGTTTGTTTGTTTGTTTATTCTTGTATGTGTAAGTGTGTTTGCCTTCATGAATCTGTGCACCACATGCATGCCTAGTGACCATGGAGGCCAGAAGAAGGTGTCAGATCTCCTGGGACTGGAATTACAGACAGCTGTTAGCTACCATATGAGTGCTAGGATTTGAACCTGGGTCCTCTGAAAGACAGCTGGTCCTCTTAACCACTGACCTATATCTCCAGCTCCAGCAAGTTGTTAGGAGGGAGGGAGGTTGTTGGTACTTTTTTTTAATCCGATGTGACTGACATTTAGTGTGTTTTCTCATCACCTTCCCAATCTTTGTGTAAACTGTATTCTTAAAAGATCTAACTAAACTTCAGAATAAACTCTAGACTACCAAATACCATTTACAAAATTCTAAATTTGATACAGCTGATATTACTAAAGCGCTATTTGACTCTAAGTACAAAAGGTCAATCACTAGGAGACAATTTTTTAATTCTTTCAAAATTTCATACATGTACACAATATCATCAACCAAATCACAATGTGTTGCCAGTCCTGGCAGCATACTAGGCATAGCAGTCAACTTGTATTAGCCTTGATGAGGGCAAATCCCATGTAGGCAAAGCTGGCAGAATGAGAATGAGGTTTAGGGTTAGCATCTACCTACAGTTCTTGTCATTCCCAGACTAATTTGTATGGAAACTTAGAGACAATGCTTCCACCTGCAATACTTCCTGCTTCCCTTCAGTATTCAGTGTTCTTCTAGTGTACCAGCTGAGTTAGAAGAAATAAATCAGGAAAAAATTCTTAAACTTCTCCCAATACTGCCAATATTAGTGGGTGATGGGACTACAAATTTATTTTATTTTCCTTCTTCTCCCTTATTTTTTTTTACTTATGTCTGGTTTTTAAGACAGGGTTTCTCCATGTAGCCCTGGCTGGCTTTGAACTCACACTTTGTAGACCAGGCTGGCCCTGAACACAGAGATCTGTCTGCCTCTGCCTCCGAGAGCTAGAATTAAATGTGTGTGCCACCACCATCTGGTGGTTCTTCCTTAGTTTTAAACAAAGGTCTTTCTGAAATAGATTTCCTTAACTTAGCTTACAGTGCTGGAGCTCCTGGCCAGGACCGTGCACATGCTAAGCATACTCCATCACTGAGCTGTTTCTCCAGCCTTGATTTGTTAACTTAACAAAAGAGGAAAACTATTAAATGCAAGGACTCAATTCTTGTTTTTGTTTTGTATTTTTGGGAGATTAGGGGATAATGTTGGGAACTGAACCTAGGATTTCAAGCATACTAAGTAAGCACTCTATGATTAAACCATATCTCCAGTACTTAACTTTGTTTTTGATCTAAATTTACAAGACAAAACCAGCTCCTATTAAACTTGGTGACATTAATACAAACATGTAATATGATAAAAGTTATGCAAAGGTTACATGGCCCCTTCTTCCATTTTCTTCATGTGCTAGGGTTACAGAGGCACACCACCACGCTCATCTTTATCAAGTGAGCTCTGGGGTGCGAACTCGGGCCCTTGGGCTGCACAGCAAGCACTAACACAGTCATGGCCCCAGCTCCTCTGACACTTCCTTACATAAAGAATGTATTATAGGTATGCAAAGTAAAATGTCCTTAAAGTAAATATTAATATTATATCTTCACAATAAATTTTCTCCTAAAAGAAACCATAAATATTAGAATAAACACCAAAAAAGAAAAAGCAAAGAAGAAACTAATTTGGTAAACAAATGTTTTCTTTTAACAAATACTTAAAAAACATGTTTAGTACAAAATGTCAAACTACCAACAGAATGAACCAAGGGTACTGGGGCATGGGTTGCTCCAACTGTGTTATATTCGGGCCTGAACACGGGCGTGCAGAACCCTGGATAACTGAAAACCAGAGGTGAAAGCAAGAAGAGTGGCGCAGCCAGTCTACCTCCTTGTGCTTCATGTCCAGCTGACTTCTCAGCGTCTTCAGCTCCCGATCACGGATGTCCAAACAAGTCTCCAGCGCGTGCGTCTGCCCCTCCCATTCAGATTTCTTATGTGCCACCATTATATCGATCTGTTTCATGAGCTCCTGCAGTTCTGCTTCACAGGATGTCAAAAATCCCCTACAAACACCAACAGACCAACACCACTCATGCCCACGTGGTTCTCATCTGTCACAGATAAAACTCTCACAGCCGAAGCCTAGCTGAAGAAGTGAAACATTAGAGCAGCAAAGCCAGGATGTCTGTGCCCTTGCTCTTATGCTGTCACATCCTGCACCCAGTCGGCTGCTTACTCTATACACTATTTTGCTCTCCTCTAGTGAGTAACCTAAAGCCGAAGTCACTTGAAACACAGATGGATGTTTCACATCGGGCTTTCCAAGTGAGATTTCCACTACTACTAACCACACTGCTGGAATATTTTAGGGATGCTCTTGGGAGAATCCTGGCAAGATTATGTCACATCTCTTTCAGCCAAAATGAATGCCTCAACAGCAAACGGGCTACTGTGCAGGAAAAAGATACTTAAAAAAATAACAAACAAACAAAAATCTGTTTCAAAAAATTCATCCTTGGGCAACATCTGTTGCAATTATTTCTTCCAACTGTTACTGGGAACACATTGCGGCCTACCTCACTGCTCTCCACCTACTGATGCCCTCTGAACTGCAGGACAGAAGCAAGAGTCCATCCACCCTGGTACTGTTAGGCTGAGATGTAAGGAGGGATGCCATCCACAAATGTGCAGTGGCTCAACCTAGCATCTGCTTACCAGAACCAGATAAGATTTTAAATTGCACCAAGAAGCTCCCAGTCAAAGGCAAACTTACCCGCTATGCCCTCGATTTTGTATTCCTTCCAACAAGGCTTCCATCACTAAATCCCCTTTGTTCTGGCAACTGGGGAAAAAAGAAAAGGAAAGATGAAGAGAGTGAGAAAAGCCACTGTTCTGAATCCCAACATTCCAACCTAATGTGAATGAAAGCAGTCGCAGTGTGAAAATAGAGCAGGGTAAGATGGCTGTAGAAGCAAGGAGTCTTACTCAGGAAATGCTAGCACAGCCAGGTGATGGGGGCACACGTCTTTAATCCCAGCACTGGAGAGGCAGAGGCAGGTAGATCTCTGTAAGTTTGAGGCCAGTCTGTTCAAAAAGAGCTAGTTCCAGACAGGCACCAAAGCTATAGAGAAACCTTGTCTCGAAAAAAAACAAAAAAACAAAAAAAGAAAGAAAGAAAGAAAGAAAATGCTAGTACCAAACACATTCTAAAAGAAAAAAAAATTGCTTCTGACATTATCCTACAAATCAATGAAACACCTAATTATTCTAGGCCTTTTCATTCATTGTTGAATTTAACTTAATTTTTGAGACAGGGTCTCACTACTTATCTCTGGCTGGTATGGAATCAGTTTTGTTATGTAGAAGAGACTGGCCAGAGAAGCCCACCTGCCTCTGCCTCCTGAGTAGTAGCACCACACTTGGCTTGCTTTCTTTTGCTGTTTCTGTTGTCAGATTGACTTTTTAAATTTTAACTATGTGCTTATGCATGGGTGTGTACATATGTGCTCTGGTGCCCACAGAGGCATTGGAGCCACCAGATCTGGGTGCTGGGAACCAAACTCTGGTCATCCTCGAGAACAGAAAGTACATGCTCTTAATTGCTGAGACATCCCTCTAGCCCCTCGAGGCCTAATTCTTAAAGAACGTAAGGGTGGAAAGCATTTTCTCTCAAGGAACATTTAAAAATCTCTTTACAAAATAGGAGGAAAAATAGTTTTTCACTCACATAACACAAGGGTTTTTGTTTGCTTTTGAAGCATAGGTTTCTTGATTTTTAAAACTAGAGCCATTATACAGAGGCTAAACTCCCTCCATTATACAGAGGCTAAACTCCCTCCATTATACAGAGGTTAAACTCTCTCCATTATATAGAGGCTAAACTTCCTGGTCAGGGGTTGGAGAGAGGGCTCAGTAGTCATTCCTGCTCTTGAGGAAGACCTGGGCTCAGTTCTCAAAACCTACATGGCTACTCACAATCGTACCTCCAGTTCCAGGAGTTGCAACACCCTCTTCTGGCCTCCACAGGCACCAGGTATGCACGTGATAAACATACATACAGGCAAAACACCCATACTCATAAAACAAAATAAGGAAGTCTTTAAAGAAAATTAAGCCAGGCGGTGGTGGCGCACACCTTTAATCCCAGCACTCAGGAGGCAGAGGCAGACAATCTCTGTGAGTTTGAGGCCAGCATGGTCTACAAGAGCTAGTTCCAGGACAGCTAGGGTTGTTATACAGAGAAACCCTATCTCAACTCCCCCCCTCCAAAAAAAAAAAAAAAAAAAATTAAGCTCCCAGGTCAGCCACAGACCCTACTGACTCAAAGAGAAAACTTCCTGCATCATACTCTGTCCCCTGGAACCTAAGGACAAGGTCAGCAGCACTGCACGGTGCCTTGTCTTTGACACATTCCCCCACTATTCATCCCAAATCACACAGAATTTGCATGCTCCTCCTTCTTTCTAGGCCACCAGCTCTTAAGGACAGAAAACCAATGAGACTCATCTCAGGAGTGGAGAGCTGAGCCCAGTGTCCCAACATGGCACCACTGCATGCCTTGGGCGACCTCATCTCCCCTTCCTCATTATGCAAACTGCTACAACTGAAGGACAAAGAGGGGAGATAGAAAAGAGAAAGTCATACAAAAGAAAAAGACCCTTAAATTCAGAAGTATCCTGAGTTGTGTGGTAAGTTTCTCTTCATAAATCCTCAAAACATTCCTTGGCCAACCACCTTTCATGCCTTAGAAAGTGTCCTATTGGGCAGGAGAGAAAGCTTAATGGTTAAGAACACTTGTTATTGCAGAGGACCCAGGTTTGATTCTCTGTTGGGGGCTGCAGACCCCTGGCCCTTGACTTTCTTTGCCTGCCTTGGACCTTTTGCCTGCTGGAGTGAAACACCTTGTTTACCTGTGCCTGCAGCTGCTCTGAGCACGAGACCCTCGTGAGTTCCTGGTGGCAGGGGAGTGAACTCTGGTGGGTTTTACAGCTGAAAATCCCGAGAGACGGGACGTGGCTACCAGTTAAGGATCCCTATATAAGCTTTCCTGGAGCACAATAAAGTTGGCATTCTTGTATCAAGGATGACCGTGTCCTCGTGTCTTTGTCTGTGTGTGTGTTTTTAAATCTCCAGCTAGTTTCCCGGCTCGTGTACCTTTCCCGGCTCACGGACAGTCCCCAGCACCCACATGGCAACTCATAACTATTCATAACTTTATTTCCAGAGGATCGCCAGGCACGTGTATGATACACAGATAAATATGCGAGCAAAACACTCATACACATAAAATAAAATTTAACTGGGGGCTGGAGAGATGGCTCAGCGGTTAAGAGCATTGCCTGCTCTTCCAAAGGTCCTGAGTTCAATTCCCAGCAACCACATGGTGGCTCACAACCAGCTGTAATGAAGCCTGGTGTCCTCTTCTGGCCTGCAGACAGAATACTGTATACATAATAAACAAATAAATAAATATTAAAAAAAATAAAAAATAAAATTTAACTGTCCTCTTTCCTTAAGCTTTCAAAGTTTCAACCATGAATTAGCTAAAGGTTAGGGTGTAGAGATTTGGTCCCTCTACCCTAATGCTTTTCAAACAACTGTATTTCTCTGGGAAGTAGATTGCTTCAGTCTACAAATTCAATGTTATACACTGCTCTCTAGATAGCAATAAAAGGCATGCTCCTTCCCAAGGAATACCCCAGCGTGGGACTGAAAAAGAAACAGAAATGTTCACCATCCCTGGCAATGAATGTAGGGGTGGAGGACATGCAGAAAACTCCAGAGACAGATGAGAAGAAGGGAAAAAAGCACAAGTGTGTTGCACCTATTCTACATGACCTGAGGACTGTGCACTCGTCGTGCATGATGTGGGCTCTTTCCTCCAGATTTCACCATGACCCAAAATAAAACCCTAAAGGAGAGGACTTATTACAAACTACACTCAGGCCCTGCCTTTGCTCTGCCCCAGAACTGGGAGGCAGAAGAGTCCACTCAACACTAAATAGAGGTCAATAAAGCAGTTCTGCCCTGCAACTAACTAGCTATGTGTTGTCAGACTTCGGTTGTTCCATCTGTAAAACGAAGGTATGAACAGTAACTGCCAAAGTCTTTATTTCATCTTTATAATTATTTCTCAAAATTATTCCTACTAAAATTATACCACTTTAGGTCATGTTATTCTTAGTGATCTACTTAATAATACATAATTTGTTGGTATTTGTGTATGACACTATTTAATAACAATGTGTATAATAGATGCTAAACTTTAGTGACTGTTTGTCTTATCTGCCTGCCTCTTACACATTCTATCTTCTGTACACCCATAAAAGACATAAAATACGATTTAGTGATTAAGAGCACTCCCAGAGGACCCAGGTTCAAGTCCCAGTACCCACATGGCAGCTCACAACTGTCTATAACTCCAATTCCAGGGGACCCGACACCCATAACAAAAACACCAATGCACATAAAAATATGTGTGTGTGTGTATAATGCATGTTTTATATATATACATATTATAATGTATGTACATTTGTGTGTGTATACAGGTGCTATCACTTTGAGGAAACAGGCTTAGAGGGTGCGATGACTTGACTACAGAAACCTACAAGTTATATTGAAGCTCAAACCCAGGCGTGTGACCCTCCAGTCCAAGCCATGTGCCATCTTTTATTTCACTCTGCCTCCTTATGCTTAACAAGATCTTCTCGGTGGGAAACAGAATAAAATTGAAGCATATGGCATTGTGGCCACTAGGTGGCAGCAGCACTGTGATAAAGCCATTGAGGTGTCAGGAGAGCCACCCGCTCAAAATGAAATCCTGAGACAAAGGCATTCTTGTTTAAAACAGGCACAGAAGACCGGCAACGCTAAAACAGGCACAGAAGACCAGCAACGCGCCCTGGAAAAACGTCTGCCAATGTGAGGTGTGCTTCTTTAGCAACACCCTCTGCACCAGTTTCCATTCTCTGGAATCAGATAAACTGCAAGGACTTGGACTTCCTGAGCGGACATTTGGTTGTCTTCCGTTTCTCACAGCCACAACACTGATTCTGTCCCTAACCAACCTGGCCTTCGCTCACCTCAGACAAGTCACTTGTTTCCTCTTTGATGGCGCCATGTGACACAAGACTGTGTCCCTAATCAATACAGATTTAGGTAAAAACTGTTTGATGATCTGCCACTCCTTACCCGGACATCGAATGCTAACGTGGGCTCCACAGCCAGCCAACAGGCAGAAGTCAGTATTCACAACAGCCTTTGGGCTGAAGCCTGAAGGGAAAAATATCAACTCAGGACCCAAGGAGACCAAGTTCTCAGCACAAATGAAATTTGTTTGCCCCAGAGGGAGAGGAACAGAGGGTAGGAAATAAGAGACAATGACAGGAGACAAAGGATGAGGGAGAAGGGGAAGGAACAAGGGAGAGGGGGAAGGGCTGGGTATTTATCCAGAGGACAAAGGACTGCGTCTAGATGGGGAGGAAGCAGATGGTGGTGCAAAGGCAAACGGTGGTCTATAAAGTAAAAGGGAAAATCCCTGTGTTAAGATGAAAGTAAAAGGGAAAATCCCTGTGTTAAGATGAGGTGTTTTCTTTTAATTGGGCATGTTAATTAGGTGAGCCACAGGAGGCTTTTGATTGCTGGACTTCAATACTGAGAGCTGGATCTTGGTAGTCAGAGGAGAAGAAAGTGACCAATAAGGGAATGGAACTTGCTGTCGTTAGGAATGTAATCTAATGGTTTTTAGCGAGGCAGAGAGAATGAGAAAGAAGTCAAGACCTGCCACATGCTCAGTCCTGCTCACTGGAAAAATATAAACTGAGATGTATAAAGGGCATTCCCGGCAACATTATTCATAAAGTAGGAACTCACTTAATATTCATTCACTGAGGGAATACTAAGAAGCTATAAAAAGAGGTAACTCCAGCCTCCATTGAAATTCATTGATGGCCAGAGTCCCAAGTGATAATGGTTGGCCCTCACAACAATCACAATACTTCTATGGAGGATCTGTTACAGGTAAAAAGAGTAAGACACAGAACAGTAAAAGAAATGTGTACTGTAGAATATTATTTTAAGATATGTTACATTTGTTTATGCTGTGGAATATTTGTTTAATGATGCAAAGATGTGTTGCATTATTTTTGTTGTTGTTTTGTTTTGTTTGTATTTTCAAGACAGGGTTTCTCTGTGTAGCTCTGGAACCTGTCCTGGCAATGCACTCAGTAGAACAGACTGTCCTCCAACTCACATAGATCTGCCTGCCACTGCCTCTCAAGTGCTGGGATTAAAGGCATGAATCACCACCGCCTGGCTTAACTATTATATTCTTTTATGTTGCATTTGTTTAATTCTGTGAAGCTGTGTTACTTTGCCTGTCTAAAACACCTGATTGGTCTCATAAAGAGCTGAATGGCCAATAGCGAGGCAGGAGAAAGGATAGGCAGGGCTTGCAGGCAGAATAAATATGAGAAAAAAAGCAAGGAGGAGGAGCAAGAGAAAAAGGAAAGGAGGATGCTAGGGGCCTGATTTTCAGCCACACAGCCAGTCAGGGAGCAACAGTAGAAGTTAGATTACAGAAGAAAAGGAAAAAGTCCAGTGGTAAAAGGAAGACAGGATAGTTTAAGTTTAAAAAAAAAAAAAAGCTGGCTAAAAATAAGCCAAGTTAAGGCTAGGCATTCATAAGTAATAATAAGACTATGTGTGTTTATTTGGGAGCTGAGTGGCAGGCCCCAAAAGAGTAAAGAGTAAAAACTAGTGTGTTTGCCATTGGATGCTTATTTACTAAGAACAAACTATGAAACACTATGCCTGTAAGGAAAGAAATAATCATGGTGGAGGAGATAGGGCTAAAGCTAACCTGCTCCAGGTAAGTCTGGATTTATGTTGCTTTATAGGGACTATGATGATGTTTTATAATTAACACATAAAAAGGAAAAGAAGCAGTACTGAGCTTGACACTGTGGCTCACACCTGTAATCCTAGTACTTAAGAAGTGGAGGCAGGAAGACCATAATTTCAAGATTATCTTTGGCTACAGAATAAGTTCAAGGTCAGCCCGGACTACATAAAACCCAGGTAAACAAAACTAGACAGAGGAAGTTATCAAAACTATGGGTCTTGAAGGGTTCCTACTGGCCAAAAACAAAAATAATTTTGGGTATCAAAAAATTTGCAATATGTTCAAACAATTTAAACACATTAAAGTCTATTGGTTTGTTTTTAAAGGTAAAGCCCTCAGGTTGCCTCAGGAGATTGCTAGGCACAGACTTAAACATATTAAAGTCTATCTGTTAGTTTTAAAGGTAAAGCCTTCAGGTTACCTTTGAAGGTTGCTAGGCCACCAATTCATTGCTGTAGTCTGAAAAGAAAGGAACAGAGTTAAGCATTTCTCTTGCCGTTCCTGTCCCAATTATATTTCAGGGTAGTCCGATAGTTGTGGAAGGCAGGCTCTTCATCAGAACGCCAGCTAAGCAAGCACTGAGACACAACACAACTAGAAAGGGCCGCTCTGTGGCTGCCGTGCAGTAACAGACCCAGGCACAGCCAGCCATGAAAGATCTCCCTATTAACTGGAAGACTCTGGAGCAACTAACAGAAACCACTGCACAGCTCAATTGTAACATCCCAAATGGGAGGACTCAGATATTACATGTCTCCCTGGTAATGCATGCAACAGATAATTTTCATAATATAAAACCTACACCTATGGCATTTTTCTTGCACCTCTCATCAAAAAAAACAAGGTTGAATCTAACACTTTGATCACTGTATTTCAACAGAACTTTCTGTAATGAAGGAAACATTTGTATCTGCATTACTCAAACAGTAGTCACTCGGCAACCTATGACTGCTGGACTAACGCAGCTAATGCAACTGGGGAACCACTTTTATTTCATTTAAAATAGCATGGCTAGCTGATGACTACCACACTGGACAATGTAATTCAAGACTTAGCCAGTGGAGGAGAGGTCACAGAGGAAATAGAGGCACATTCAAAACTACATACAAACAGCTAAATTTTAAATGGTAAAGAAAAAAGGGAGATAAGAAACTGCTGTTGGTTAGAGGAGATAAACGCCTAGCAACCAGGTGCAGCAGACAGTTCTCTGCAGAATTTTGGTCCAAACAAGGTATTGCAAGCACATATGGAGTAGGGGGAGAAAACTGATCCCTCTGGATACCGACGTTGTGTGTTCTGCACAAATTTGTACTGATATAAAAATAGTACTGTGGTTTTGTAAAAGTAAATCTAGCCCTGGGCATGGGAAGCACTTTAGCTATGACAGCCAGGGGGTGGGGAGCATCTTTGCTATGACAATGTGGATTAATGCTGCCACCGTCAGCTCCTTTCGAGGGCAGAAAGGCTAAGTAATGGTCCTCTATGGCTCCACGGGAGGAAGCAGCATTGGCATAATTAACAATATCTATATTGTTGTTAAAACTTCAGTGTGCACACATTTTAAAAGACTGTGTGTCTGAGTTTGTAAATCTCTAACCCATTTTAGTTTCACAGTCTTCTTTACTATACTGACCACTAAAAGACAAGGTACATGAGACAAAAATTAACCTAAAGATGGTGTTACATTCCATATAAGAAATTTTGTTTTATCATACGTTAAGCTACAGACTTTAAGAGTAAGTGTAGCCGAGCGTGTTAGCGCATGCCTTTAATGCCAAGCACTGGGAAGCAGTGACAGCGGATCTCTGTGAGCTCAAGGTTCTGGTCTACAAAGCGGGTTCCAGCTAGGGCTGTTATACAGAGAAACTTTGTCTCAAAAAACGAAGTTTAAAAAAAAAGTAAGTATAAATAGCTAAAGATAATTTATATTCATTGACCCATGACTTACATACAAAATATAAATACAAAATTAAAACTAAATGGAGGTATTCGAGAAATTGAGCACCTACCCTATTTTACTAAATAAACCTTAAAAATCTAAATTGGCCTCAAGAGAACTTACAAAGTCAAGCGAGATGATGTAGATCCTTAACCCAGGACGCTGAGGCGGGCCCATTTCTGTGAGTTTGAGGTCAGCCTGCCTTATACATAGTGAGTTCCTAGCCAGCCAGATATTTTGTTGTTTGTCCGAGACAGGGTTTCTCTGTGTAACAAGTAACAGCTCTGGCTGTCCTGGAACTCGCTTTATAGATAAAGTTGGCTTCGAACTCACAGAGATCCACCAGCCTCAGCCTCTGAGTGCTGGGATTAAAGATGTGTACAGTCCAGGCTTCATAATAAAAGGTCTTAGAGGTAAAGCAGGCGCTGGAGGGGAGGGCGTACTTTGGGAAAGTAAGTGTACAGTCTCAACGTGAGACAATGCTCTGACTTCACGGTTCTGTAAAGGGCAAAAGCCCTATTTGCAATCCAGACCACTGTCAAGTTATAGCCTTATAGAACTGTCCTTTCAAAGCTTTCATTTCACTCTCCCAATCTTGTTTCCGATGCTTGAGTGAAGGCGGGAGGCCACCTGCAATTCTCCTGCATCAGGGGTCCCGCCATGCTTCCGCATCTCTCCTACTA